TTCCAGCGAATCGCAGGGCTGTGGAACCCACCTGGCAAGGCCTGGCGACCGATAGTCGCCTGCATGGGAAGTTAAGTTGACGATGCCCACGTGTTGTGCACATAAAAATCACAACGTCGGGCGTCGATCCGCGGGACCTGTCCGGCCAAGCCTGTACACAGGACGCTGATCTCCTTCGTTATCTTACGGAGTATAGTGTCAAAATTCCTGGATCATGGTGTTCCATAAGATTAAATTCGCAGCTGCGAAGGGGTTTATTAAGTTAACAGACTCTGATAGTTTCTTGATACTATATAGAAAAACAGAGAGGTTATAATCGAGCGCCAATTCGCCCGTCAGGGCTTGTTTAATCTTGATGAAGTCCTCGAAGGCTTCTCGAAGAGACGACCTCGTCCAGGGGAAAGCCTTTGTAGTTTTTGTTTGAAACTGTTCTAATTCTCCCGCCGGGCGTGATCTCCAGGTTGTACTACACCGAAGTGAAACTGCGTAAGTACGGTCGAACCTGCCGCACGACCTAGTCTTGGAGTTACTGATGGTTCGGCGGCATCCAATCAGTTTTTTCTGCTCACTTAGTTGGCCGGTTATTGTTAAAGTCAAGAGTTCGTGCCCCGCCGACAATCTATCGCCGCAAACTTTTCATGAACCGGCAAGCTATGTCATGCATTTGTATATCTAGCTTTTCGCCACCCCACCGACCTGTTTCTAAACGATATCAAGATTCGACGGTTAACTGGCCCGCTGATTACAATACGCCCACGGCTGCTCGCAACCGGAAATACCTTTGTTCGACATTTTCTGCGTTCGTTTTTATAAACTTATTTGCTCTGGTTGTTTTTTACATTAAGTAGGACCAACATATGAAAAACGGGAAATACATTAATACCGCGGCCGCTCTTTCTCGTTATCTACGCGCGAAAATAGACAAATACGGGTATATTCTTACATACAAGTATGTAAGTACCTATTATTTAGATATCCGATTGCATACAATGTGTTCCGCTTCTTGAAGATGTATTTCTACGCATTGTTCCATGTTAACAATTCTACTAGGATTGCTTTCTTTCCTTTGTCTGCCTGCGTGCCAGTATGAATACAGAATATATGGATGGATTTAAGCTCAAGACTTGGAGGAGGTCAAGAAGTGTCGTGCATTTTTTAAATTGCGCCTGCTGCTGCCGCCACAGTTGTTGGTGCGGAATGAAACACCGTATTGAACTATGGCAAACGAAAGGCATGGCAAGCTGTATCTTGGCATATAGAAGTATATGGTTGTTTGTGTAGATATTTGGTCCTTTGAATATGAGGTAATCGCTGCGCGGTAAAGTGATAACTGCTGATAGTGTCTTGCTCTGGAATGGCAATCGGTTTTCCCGAAGAGCGCTAATTTTGCGCCCTCTTTCTTCATCGTCGCCGGCGACTAAGTTAATTGAATCCTCTTTTCCAGTGTCCCGGGCCTATCGTTGTTTGCCGTGAATCTTCTTCTATTGCTATCTAGGGTTAGGACAAATTCCCCCGGTCGCCGTTGCTGTGCGCATGTTTATCACCGACCTTAGCCGCCGCAAAGGCTGCGACTCTACACTGTTAGTAGTAGTTAGTGTGACGGTCGTACTGATGATGATAGAAATAGTAAATCCGCTGTTCATAGTGGGTCCTTTATATTCGTTCCTTATCGCTGCTATATGGCTAATAGGCCACAGAGATCCTAGAGTCGCATTATAGCCATAGCTGGGACTGAGATACCAGCCATCGGAATGATTAACAAGTAAATAAGTAACTAGCTGGATGAAGACGTGATCATGATCGCTTTTACACTAACACTTATTACCAGCTCGTCGTCTCGATACAATACATGGTATTTTAAAAATATTTTGCTTTAATTTATATATATATA